AGTCAAGCATATCGAAATGATTATATATAGTAAAATTAAAATACGCCGGAAAGGGGCAAGAAAAAAATAAGAAAATCCCAAAAAATTATTTTGTTAAATAAATTAAATTAAATTAAAATTTCATGTTAAAGCTTGTTTCTCTTACAATTTCCTGATTGTCAAAATCCTCTCCACTTCCACAGACGGATGGTGAACCCAGCATAGTAAAGTTCTCTTGCATGCTTGAAGAGCTTTCTTCTCTTTCATCTTCGCTCTGATCATCCTCATAATTTAATTCCCTTACAGACAATTCTTCGTCATTGGAATTGTATTCTGCTGCTGATAGTTCTTCGTCCGTGTATTCAGTTTCTCCATCTGAAAGAAGTGGGGAAACTCCATCCAGAGTTGAATCTAGTGTCTCTTCCGCAGCAGTTTCCACTTTCTTTGGCTTATCAGAGCCTTTTCTTGGCTGCCGAGTATCGAGTTAGGATTCCGATTATTTGGATCACCATAAAGTGCTATGTGCCTGTAATATAGTTCAAGTTCCTTCTCAGCAATGGCAATGAAGCGCCTCACAGACTCCAATGATTGCTCATACTTCGATTTTTCCAGTGCCTGGCAATAATAACATAACATGAAGTTGGCTAAACTCGAGGGAATACCATAGTAGTAAAGCCTTGAAGTACATGAAGAAAAATGAGTACAAAAGGATTCAATTAGATCAGCACACTAAACGATTCTTTTTCTTCTTTGCTCTCATCAAATAATATGCATACTTGGCTTCATATAAATATCTGTAAAGACAGGCAAATAAAATAAGTGATATGATACATTTTACTTTTAACCATTGCAATTACAACCAAGCGAGCAATTACAAGACGAGGAATTCCTCGATGCTCGTTTGCTATATTTCATATGAACTCATGTAGAATAACTTGGCATCAAATGAATCTAATCGGGGGGCTGAGCATGCACTACTTCCATATCAACAATCTTGCCATTACCAAGAACCCCGATGTAGATTGTTTTTGGTGGTTAGATAAGCATGAAATGAAGAGCTTAATTACACCTTGACAACCAGTTAGCAAGTTTTTATCCATCATCCAATTTCAGCACTACTTCTCACCCATTTGACCTTTAAGGACCTTAGACTGAGGGTTTACAAGCAAACTTTACAAGAATTATGGAGAATTTGAGTCATTCCACCTGAACTCAGTTCTCATCCTCAAGCTGGTGAAACACTATAATCCTCCATCTTCGATTCACAAATTCCCAGAAAACATGGTAAATTCATTTCAGAGGTAATTAACATATCATGATCTCTCTATGGAAGATTAGATATCAACATCTACGGGAAGCAAAAGATCTGAGTTCAGATAATAAGAACCAGAATAATTAATAGAACTCCTTGATAGTTGACGAATCTCAACTTGTCTCTATACGAATACAAAGAAAGCTAAAATCCTTTGACAGATAAAGGCTGAAAAACCTAAACAGAACCATACCAGCTTACTACACTAAAGCCATCATAAATAATAGACTCTGGCCTAAGACTGGTCAAACGAGACCCAAAGAATGCTTCCTTGTCCCAATTTGTGACTTTCCTTATTCACATGCTCTACGTTAATTTTAAGCCATGAATCAGAAATGATTATTCCTACTAAAATGCATTAACTAGTGACCAACAGTCTTACTGTCATAACTATTAGGAGAACGCTTATTGACACTTGTCCTACATCAATCTTTCAACAAGGACCTCAAGGCTAGTAGTTTTTTGTCAAACTACAAAAGTACCCGTACATGAATTCTATTTAGGAGCTCAACAAAACCAACAAAACATAAATAGATTAAACTTCCACAGCTATTAGTCAAATACAAAATACAAGATTTGAATTTTTGCATCTTCTTTTTTATTGCATCGCCATGGCAACAACATGACTGTTTACATTGACATTTGACTTCTTTCCCCACACATGAAACAAATAAGTAGATAAGTTTGAAAGGTTTTCCTAGCCCATTCATGTTATCCCTGAACTTCTAATCACTTTGCTCGTCTTCTATATATGCTCTATCCACTATTATATCAGTGGCCCTTCTACAGAACAAAACATATCCAAACTCGGAGATAAAAACTTCCCCCACCTCTCTCTCTCTCTCTCACGCGCACACATAACTTCCATCAACATTCTTTGTTTTCACTTCTAAAGCCATCTTCCAATTCTCCCCCTTTAAAGTACTCTCTCAATCTCTCTATAATTCATTTCAATTTTTCTTTTCACCAGTTCCACATCTTCTTCTCATCAACAGAAAACCAATTTTCACTCTTTCCAAACCTCCATTTCCATTCAACCCATTAAAGCCTTGAACATCCATAACATGTATACACACACCACAAACCTACTCACAGCTCCCCCCCCCCCCCCCCTCCCCCCCTCCAAAAAAATATAAAACCAATAAATAAATAAACAAATAACCCTCCCAAAGCAGGCGCACACACAAAGCACAGAAACACATATATATGCAACACACAAACACGCACACACACCTCTATGATATTACATTGGTTCATCAAGAATATGCAAAGTGGTAAGTAATTTACATGGGGAAAAAACCGCTAAATATGCATTCTGTTCCTTCAACTTGAGAAATCCCTAGCTTTTTACTTCCTATAAAGATTCTATATATTCATAGATTTTAAGAAAGTGCTGGAATTTTAAATCTTTGCTCCCGAACTGTGCACACCTAGATAGATTACAGAGTAGAGTTCTAGACATGCTATGCTGCCTTCTTGCATAAAAAGTTCGAAAGTTGTTAAATTTCACCAGGAAAAGTCTGGTAGGTGATAGTTGCAAGATTCATCTTTTCCATGTGAAACAGCCAAAAAAGGACAAAACTGAACAGAAATTAAAAACCAAGGGGAATAGGGGCCGTGCTACTACGTTCTTTAACGAAAGCAGTCCCTTCCCACAGAGACGAATTGGAATCAAACAGCTTTTGAGCACTGCTGCAAATGATGCATATAAGAGGACCTTTTTCAATTTAATAAGGATAAAGATACTAGATTCCTAGGCTATATACTAAAAGACCTACAGAAGAAAATATGAGGCACAGGAGAAAATCAGATTTCTGGAAACACACCCTTTTCTTGGATAATGTATCAATTGGCGACATAACTTCTGGCTGCACATAATTCTTTCCTCGATAGAAGATTATAGTGTCATCTCCGATCATCTGGATTGGGATTCCACCACTTAATCTGGCAATTTCATTTGCATACTCATGTACTTGACCAGGTTTACAAGGCTTGCAGATGACCTTAACCGTTTCATGTTTCTTCCAATGCATATGCATATTCAGTATTACACCACCAAATATGCCTCTTCTGCCAACTGGTACATAGTTAGACCCTTTCTGGGCCATCTTCTTCATGTAGAACCGTTCCTCACCAGTTAGGTTATGTGGTTTCACCTCAGGCCCCTGAAGTTTAGGAACTTCATAGCGCTTGAGTCTTTCAATCAGTAATGCTTCTTTAATTTTTGCCTAAATGGAACAACAAAAAAAGCCGCCGTCAAAATCCTTAGAGAAATTGCAATGGAGAATCAGATCTCTGCTATATATCTGAAAAGTGTAATGACTCATGTTCGTACTAGACAACATCAACAGAGGACAATTTTTTTAAACAAAAATGGAAAAACAACTTTGTTACTCTTCAATGTTTGTAGAATCAAAATTGAGTTAATTTAGGTCGGCTATTAACCAGTATACCTGTGTGATCCTGTGATGGAGAAAAATTGTAACGTGCTACTGTGAAAAATGAAATTTAGTGGAGGAACTGGAGCATTTCAAGCAAGTGAGCAGCCACATGAGGGAGGGGCAGCCACAGGGGAGGGGGGGGGGAGAGAGAAAGAGAGAACAAACAAGGACTTCTTTAAGAGATTTAGGAAAAGCCAAAACACCAAAAATCCCGCAAAAAATAACTGAAAATAAGCTAGGTGTAGAAATTTCAAAGACGTACTTCAAGTAATAGCATCCCTCCTACAAAGGTATTGCATCACATTCTGCTAAAAGTAAAATCCAAATAAATCTGGCCACAAAATGGAATAAATACTCAGACCTTGTGACAGATCTGGATAGACTTCTCAAAGGCTATGCAACTGATTTAAATCCAATCCATATTGACAGAAAGAATCTCACTCTGCTAAAATGTTTTAAAAATTTGGACTTCCACTCCTTAAGCCGCCAATAAAAGGCCAGATTCACTTCAACACACATTCATAAAGTTTCCTGTAGTCCTGCTTTAGTTGATCCCAAGAAGCCACTAATAGAATTATAATCACAATCCTCGCAAATCAAGATAAAGGCCATTTCACACCCAGGTAAAAACAAAAGTTCAAACTTTATAATATTGTCCCACCCTAGCTGATTTTGAGAAGGAACAAACAGTTTGATCTTTATGATCTTGCAACATTATGCTCGTCCATTTACCTTGTTAGTGTGTTACTTTCCTAATGTTTTACTTACTATTATATTACTATCCTATTAAGTCACTTTCCTCTTGTTCTACCGTCCTATTATGTTCTACTTTCCTAATATAGTAGTTGCCTTCAATATCAATATAATATAAATAGGTGATAGGGTGTTAGCAACACATACCCTACACACAATATAGTTTCATACTCTCTTTCTTTTCCCTAACACTAATATACAATTATTCAACTTTCAATTTCATATCATAACAAAATACTTGGGTAAGTGGGCCCAATTCTAGGCAATCAACTCACTCACCTAGTGTTTAGGTCTGCCCAACACACATCAAGTCCCAGTCATCTGCATTTGTTCATTGGCTAATGTGATCATTATCGGCTACTGGGGTGCCTGAACCTATGCTTGTATCTTCGGTGTCTGATCATGGGTGCGGATTTAGTGTTTCAATTTGGTTTGGTGTTAGTTTAGTAGTTTTCAGCCAGGATCAGGTTTGGTCCAATGTTTTTAGTCTGACTTAGTGTCAGCTAAGTGGTTTTCGACTTAATTTGGAGTTAGTGTAATGGTTTTTATCCCGAATCAATTTTGGTTCAGTGTTTTTAACCATGTTTAGTGTCAGTTCAATGATTTTCGGCCCAATTTACTGCTTGTTTAGTAATTTTCATCTGGTTCAATTTCGTTTCACTGTTTTAGCCCAGTTTATAGTATTGGTTCAGTGATTTTCAAGTTAGTTTGGTGCTATGTTACTTGTTTTTATCCCAATTTAAGTTTGGTTCAAGGTTTTCATTTCAGCACAATTTAATGTTGGTTTAGTGATTTTCATCCCAGTTTATTTCAAGTTTAATGTTTCAATCTTGTTTAATTCCGGCTTAATATTTTTAGCACAGTTTGATGCTAGTTTATTGGTTTTCATCTTTGTTTAATTCTAGTGCAATGTTTTCAACTCAGTTTAGTATCGTTTATTTATTTTTGACACAGTTTGATGCTTGTTTAGTGGTTTTGATCCGGTTTAGTGTTTTCAACCTAATTAATTTTGGTTCAGTGGTGATTTTCTTCTCGATTCAATTTCGATTGAAGTTTTCATTGCAGTTCAGTATTGACTTTGTGATTTTTAACACTGACTCAACTTCTTTTTGGCTAATTCAATTGCGGTTCTGCTTGATTTAACCAATTTGTGATTGTTTCGGTTTAATTTGTTGTTGTATGTTGTTCATTATGGTGTTGTTGGTTGTATTCGTTTGTGCCAGTATTGTTGTTGTTGGTTCTTGTGGTGTTGTGTTTGTTTGTTGTCACCGTATTCTTTTCCTCTGCGTTGTCATGACTGTTGTTTGTTATTGCTTGTTTTAGTATGACCGTTAATTGTTTCTTTAGAAAATCAAAATGTCTTAGACTTCACATGGAGCAAAACCTAGATCTATTGCTTAGAGGGAGTGTCATAGTGTATGTTGATTAAAGAAATCCCTGAATGGTTTGAAATAGTCAACCATAGTCCTTATTGTTTACGTGGAGATATTACGGTCAACACCGCAATTTTCTCATCAAACCATTGGCGCGGTCCAACTTTAGTAGTCTTTATTCCAAGTTGGACTTTTTTTTTTCTTTGCTCCAACTTGAGGGGGATCATTAAAGTGTTATTTTCTTATTATTCTACTTTCCTATTATGTGATTTTTTCTATAATGTTCTACTTTCCTAATATTGTAATTGTTCTTCAATATCAATATAATATAAATAGGTAATAGGGATTGGCAACACATACCCTACACACAATATTGTTTCATCCTCCTCTTCTTCTCTTTCTTTTTTTAACATATAATTACTCAAGTTTCAACTTACCCCAATCACCAATGGATCATTATGCTTATGTTTCAAAGTCCCAACCACCAGGTGGAGAGCACTATCAAAGTGTAATTGACCTAGATTGTGAGGTTAAGATCAAACATTGTCCTTAGAGTCTACTACAAATATCACATAAGGAAGAAAGGAAGGGTTCGGAACTGCCATTTCCCAATGCCTTGCTGATCAATACCTTGACACTCCAAAAACATTTGAGAGAGAATGAGAAAAAGTGTATCACCCTATTTCACACCTCTATAACTTGTAGTTTTATTGTTCAGCAAACCACTGGCTTTTGACAGAGGCAGCACAAAGATGGTTAACAAGATGCAACAATGACCATACAAGAAAATCTACGTCCTTCCCCAAATACCCTAAGATAGTTAGTCAAGGACTCCATAGTTTGTAAATGAAAGTGCTTACTTGTACTTTTCTTTTCCTAACATATTCTCTTAACTCTAAGAAATTAGGTTAGGATAGACCTCCTATGAACTGATAAACTGTCCTAAGGACTATATGCATTTCCCAAATTCCAGTGGACAAATATTTTCTAACCCAAGACACTTTGTAATTTGGCTTATTAGCCAACACTTACATTTTAAAAAATGCTATTTTACAGATAAATTCTCTATAAAAGTGAATAAAAATTTCACCATTTCTATGAAAGTATTGTTCAAGAAGCACTTCCAGGGTCGCTGCAACAATTTTCATAACTCACAAGTTGCAAAAGGTAAATCCATTGTCTGGGAGGAATTACACTGCATAATCAAAGCATACAATTGGGCAGACTATTACAAAACATGTACAATAAAGAATGTATAGAGCAGCCACAGATTCTCAAAAACAAAACAAATCCCCAATGACAAAGTCCAAACAAAGCATTAAAAGAAGAACTGGGTAGAGAATAAATAGCTTTTCTATTGCAGATAAAGCAGAAACAACCTATTAACTATTATGAAGGTGTCATTTTCCTAATGCATCTATTGTGATCATACTAAAACCGATGGAATACATTAACATGTAATTACGATAATATCATAAATTACACCTAATTCGAGAAAACCCAGACATCGTATAAATAAAGAAATTATGGAAACACATAAAACCATTTTACCCAAAAAATACATTTGTATCTCGGAAAAGATCCAATTTTGCTCACCTTTTCAAGTTTGTACTTAATTCTTTCCTCCGCATTTGCAAACCTCTGCCTCTTCTTCCTCCCTTTAACACCAATCCTTCTTGGGTCTCTCTTATTGGCAGCTTTTCTTCGCTGTTTTTCTTTCTTTCTTTGAAGCTTCAACCTCTTCTTCGTCTTCCACTTCTCCTTCTTCGGAGGCTCGATTTCATGAGTCTCGAACTTTGGTTTTCCTTGGGATATCACAAAGTTAACAGAACCATGACTGAAGTTTCTGAACACCCACCATGAATTTGACGGCTTTAATGGAAATATAGGTCTGGAAAGAGTGAAAATTGGTTGTGTGTTGTGGAGGATGGACCTGGAAGAAGAATAAAATGGTTTTGAAATGGAGAGATAAAGGATTGAAAACAATTGTAGAGAAACTGAGGGGGAGAGAATACCTTAAACAGAGACAATTGGAAGAAGATGACTTGAGGAGTGAAAACACAGAACGTTTACGGAGGCCACGAAGCAGATGATTTGCCATATAACTTCATAGAAGATTTGTGAGTGTGTGTGTTAGTGAGAGAGAGGGACGATTTCAGCCAAGTTAACCTAAATCTTGTGTAGTATGGTTGGATCAACAAATAAAACTATTTTGCAGGATGCAATTTTTTATCAATTTTTTCTTACCAACTTAATTCTAGGCAGAATTACACTCAGGCTTATAAAGTTTGTCATTTAATCGCAAAACTCTGATATTTAAAATATTATATATAAATTTTCTAAATTTCTTACGCTCGTAACACTTATATATCTGTCATTAACGTCTGTTTATATGTTCGTTAATAAATTACATGCAAATTCCCTATATTTTATAAATATATAATATTTAAACTCTTCAAATTTAAAATGTTATATTTAAACTAAAAATATTTTAACTAAAAATATTTCAATCAAAAATAAAATATTAAATATTTTAAATTTTATAATCAAAATTCATGTTATATTATAATATTTTATTAAAATAAAATCAAAAATCAAAAATTAATTTTTCTTAAAAAATCAAAAATTAATTTTTTAAAAAAAATCATAATTAGCATTTATACTTAAAAAATCAATAAATATCATAATATAACATGAGTTTTGGTTGTAAAATTCATGTTTTATTAGAATGACTTAAACCACTTATTTAATTTTTTTAGTTTTATTACAATAGATAATATAATTATATACAAATTACATTTTTTTAAGAAAAAATTAACTTTTGCTTTTTATTTTATTTCAATAAAATGATACAATAGATCATGAATTTTGATTTTAAAATTTAAAATATTTGATACTCTATCTTTGATAAGAGTATTTTTTGTCTTAGTATAATATTTTAAATTTTAAGATTTTAAGTATTATACACTTACAAATTTTAAGGGACCTGAATGTAATTTATTAACAAATATATGAAAAAAAATTGACGACAGAAATTCAAGTATTACGTACATATAAATTTTAGAAGAACTGTATATAATATTTCAAACATCAAATAATCTAAATAATTAAGTGGCAAAATCTCACAAGATTTGAATGTAATTCTCTCTAATTCATTAGATTAGTAGGTCTTATTAGGTCTTACTAACCATCTAATGGTCGTTATTGTGCCAAATTTACAAATTTGGAATTCACAAAACCATTGAGCGTCTTGATCGAATGTGGATCGACACTGGTTATTCAATGATGAACTAGTCATATTTAAGCATATGGAGTCGTCCCTGTGAAGAAAACTTTCGATACATTTGAAATTTGGGTGGAACTATTTTTACCTCTTAAAATTTTTTTTTCACCATATTTAATTATTTTATTTCAAACTATTAATTTTATCCTATCTTTTCATTCAATCAAACTATTAAATATATGTCAAAAAAATTGAAACAAATATACCAATTGAAATAAAATTTTAATGTTCTGAGTTAATTTATATTATTTCGAGGTGTTTTGAGATATTTTAATATAATTTCATAAATGTCTTTAAAATATTTTAAAGTATTTTAAGATATTTTGGTATATTTTAAAAATAACAATCATTTTTTATTAATTTTATATTTTACTTCTAAAATATTTTTGTACCAAAATAATACGTCAAAATGAAATTTTGATTATTGTCCATATAATAAGTTGAAATAAAATTAAATAAATTTAATTTTTAATTTAAAAATATAGACGGGATAAGTTTAATAATTAATGAGGTGGAGTATAAATAAAGTGGATTGAATAGTTTGAAGTATAATGATTAAATAGGGTGCAAAAAGAGATTTAAAGAGTGTAAATAGTCATACCATTTAAATTTTAGGCTTAACTCTTCTACTTTATTAGACCAGAGTAAATCATGAATAATCATTGCCCAAGACGGAGACAAGCTAGCCAATCATAGTCCAACAAATTAAATTCTAATAAACATGAGGGTCAGTTTGGCCACTTATAACTTGGGAACTTACAAATATTTGGGTTTACAGTGTTTTGTTTGGCATCTTCGCAAAAACATATTATAAACAGCTCACGAATTAAATTGACTTGCATATGAGAGCAGCCCAATTGGGTTTTTTTTTTCCTGGGCCAATTATATTTTATAAACTAAAAGGTTGTTTGATTGCAGTATTAAGGGGTGTATTAAAGAATTATAACAAATTAAAATTTTTTAATCAGGTCTAATACTCTATTTGGTAAACAAATTTGATTTCGTATTAATTTCAAAAACATGAACTGTATTATAGAAGCATTTTAATAACATCAGGAGAACTGATATTATAAATCAACTCAAATGTATTATTGTACACATTTACAATTATAACCCCCACAACTGATAAAAACAAACTGTAACCAATGTAAAAAATACTGATTTAGGGTATTTTTGTTAATTCAATATTAATACGATAAAATAATTCTTTAACCAAATAACAATTTGAACGAAATAATTACTATTCAACGCTTATATATTGTCAAATATTATATAAAATTATATGTTATTTTAATACCCCATTTAATCTTATCTTTTGTACATCTATATTATATTAGACTGGATTTATTTATCCAATTTGATGGGATTTTAGACGGCTCAGCAACCCCTAGATCGACACGTGTAAGATTGTAACTGTTATGGAGTTCAAAAGAAGCCGAGGAGAATAAACGAGAGATAACGACTCAGAGAAGCCGAGTCCATGAGATGACATTCGCATTTAATACGAGTTGACCGTTCATTTATGGCGATGTAAGTGACGGAGATAAGACCATTAATGAGCCTTTGCCTACTCAGGGTTTAAACCTAGAGTCATAATGGCTAAACATTAATGGTTATTATGTCGAGTATACCTCCTAGGTGTATCCCGAGGTACTGTTCCCCGAGCATTTAATGCTCAGAATAGGTGTCATGCGCTGATCAGAGGTATTTGAGTACTCGAGGATAACCATGAGTTCTCGGCATGGGACCGAGTACTTATCCTATCACCCAAGCATTAAAGATACGGAGAATTGAGTGGAGAACACTCATTGCGCATGGGTAAGAGTATCAGACATTTAATGCTGAGATGGGACTTAAAGTTTTTCCACTCATTGCTAATCAAGGTATACTCCTCATAAAAATGAACAAAGGTACGCAAGATTGAACAGAAACAAAAATTATATTGTGTTCAAGTTTCCAATCTTATACTGACTTAAGATTTGGAGGGAATAAGCTAAATGTTCATTCGGCCCCTTTTCTGACTTTGTAATTGTTTCAGGTTCACCATATTGGCGACTGCTATTTCAATTTGTTGTAGGAAATCTTTTGTGCACAATCTATCCATTTTTAATATGGCAACTAAACGAGCCCTAAGTTTATATGCAATTAAACCTCTCTCAAGAGTAATATTCTCTTTATCTAGAGATTTTTCCTAAGCATTATCTTAGTCATCCTGTTTCACTATGATAACAGACCTCAGTCGCCTACCACCCTAATAAACCACCGACCACAACAATTCACTTTGAAGCCACAACACAAACTTCGTCGGTTAATCTTCCATTGAGCTTTCCTCCCTTAAACCATCCAAGTTGCACCATTTTTTCTCAACAATCAAACCCTAGATTTGAATATCCTCTAACAACAATAAAACCTTCTTCACAATCCTACACCTATCTACTCTTACTAACCCATACCTCTAGTGACAAATTCCAACCTAGAATCCCCTCTTAAGACAAAGCATCAAACTTTCTCCAAACCTGACCTCTCAAGCACACCAAACAATGGACTAAGAAACCAACTCACAAAAATAAAACCATCCACTATTTTCGCTCTTTTACTCATCTTTATCCACCAAAACTACAAAGCAATCATGCTAATGGGGAGGTTTATTACAAAAACACCACAGAACAAGCAAGGGTGGATTAAGACAATTTAGGGCCAAAAACAATACTTCTAAATGAGGCCTTCTATGTTTAATATTAATATTTTTTATTTAAAATTAAATTTCTTGCTTTTTGAGTTGCAAAAGTATTAATTATGTTTTTATATTCAAATTTTGCTACCATATCTTTTTCTATTGATAGTATCGGTAATCCAGTTAATCTTTCTTGTGACATAGTCGATCTTATGAACGATTTTATCAATTTTAATTTTGAAAAGTTTCTTTCCGCAGAAACAACTGTTACAGGAATTGTTAATAATATTTTATAAGCAATGCATGCATTTGGAAAAGAATCTAAGTTTTTTTTATGTAATTTAGTATCTCAATTGGAGTATTTTCTTTTGTTTGTAAAATTTCTTGTAAAACATTTAATTCTAAAAATAAATCTAAGCAATCAATATCGAAAAAAATTTCATGTTTTAAGAAACATTCGAAATCCAAACAATATAATTTTAAACTATCATTGATCAATAATTTTAATTTTTCTAAGTTAAATAAAAAACAAAAAATATTTTTGTACTTTTATAATTGTTCAAATCTACTCTTTAGTGAAGAAATAGCTTGATTAATTATATATATAAAATAATCAATTCTAAAAAATTCTTCAATAGATTGTGTTACCTCATCGTCAACATTTTCATCAAATTATTTTTTTCTACAAATTCTACGTTTTTCACAAAATATAAGTTTTATACCCATTTCACATGCAATCTCTTTAGATAAAATCATAGCATTTGTAAATCCACTTTCCCTATATTTTTCAAAAAAAAAAAAGAAATGAGACATTTTAATTGATCTATAGCAATACTAATATGTATGTCTTTTGATTGTAAATATATACTAACTAAGTTGCCGAAAAATAAAATATCATACCAAATAGTCATGCCCAATAAGAACTCAAATTTCTCAATCTCATGCTAAACAATTAGCTTCACTTCTTATTGTTTGATCTTCAATAGTTTCCGCTAATTGCAATAATGCATATCTTAATTTTGAAGCTTGAAATCTTATTCCTTTAACACCTTCAACACGAATTTCCCAACGTATTTGTGACAATGACTTAAGAGTTAAACCTTGGACATTATCTTGTAAAAAATTTCATCATTTTTTGTGGAAG